GCTGCTGCTGCTGCTGCTGCTGCTGCACCAGCTCTTCAGCTGGAGTCCTGCTAGGCCTCTTCGCCTCTGCCGCCGCCAGTGCCTGCAGCTACACAGCCTCGCCGCTGCGACTTTGCCAGTTCATAGCCAGCAGCACAACAGCAGCACAGGCAGCAGCAGCAGCTGCTGCTGCTGCTGCTGCTTGTGCTGCAGCAGCAGCAGCAGCAAAGGGGTTCTCAAGGAGCTGCTGCTTGTTGGCCAGGGGCGGTCGCTGAAGCTGTTGACCCCGGAGACTCTTGATGTGCTTCCGACGGCAGTTCGGGTTGCGCGCCGTAGAATGGCACAGCAGCAGCAGCAGCAACAACAGCAACAACAACAACAGCAGCAGCAGCAGCAGCAAAGCCATGAGCAGCAGGATGATCGGCAGCAGCAGCAGCAGCAGCAGAAGCGGCAGCGGCAGGAACAGCAGCAGCAGCAGCAGCGCCAGTGGCGAGCAGGGAAAGGCCTCTCCCTGCCAGCAGCAGAAAACGGCTACATACTTCTCTCTTCGCCAAAATATATTGTTGCACTTCCCAGGTTTTTTTTAGGGACTTCTCCTGAGACGTGGCCGTTTAGTGGACAGCAGAGCCCGCGCAGCCGCAGCAGCAGACGCAGCAGACGCAGCAGCAGCAGCAGCAGCAGCAGCAGCGGGAGAGATGACAGCGAAAGCGACAGCAGCAGCGCTGTAGTCTCACCCCCTGAAGTGGCTGTGCATGGAAGCGTTCAAGCAGAAAGCCGCAGAGGCAGAAGCAGCAGCCGGAACAGCAGCGGCAGCAACAGGAGCAGCAGAAGCAGCAGCAACACCAGCAGTGACGAAAGTAATGAGGACGTCCGTGGAGATGACCCGGAACTGCGTGTTCCGCAGGGCTGTTTGTGGTGCGTAGAAGCTCCCAGCATACGCAGCAGACGCAGCAGCAGCAGAAGCAACGATAACAGGGCCGCCAGCAGCAGCCGCTGCAGCACCTGCTGCTGCTGCACCGAGCGTGAGCAGCCAGGCGCAGCAGAAGGGGGCCCCCAGGAACTGCTGCAGGGTCCTGTCCTCCGCGTGGGGCCGCCTCGAAGAATAGCCACTGGGGAAGTTGGAGTCACAGCTGGCTGCCTCTCTGTAGGTTTCATTTTGCTGCAGTTTTGGCATTTTGCTGCAGTTTGGGCTGAAGCTAGTGGACTACTTACGTCTGGTTAGGCTGGATTCAGGCCAGCAGCAGCAGCAGCAGCAGCCACAGGTTCTCTTGCGGTAGCTCGCTGGTCTACCGTGTCTGTTGCAGCGCGAATTGCTGCTGCTGCTTCGGGGCACCGACTCGGTACTGCCCCCTATGTGCTGCTGCTGCTGCTGCTGCAGGGCCCCTGGGTTTGCTTCGGGTTTGAAGACTCCCTTACCCTCCACTGCCTCTGTCTGCTGAAGAGAGCCTGGGGGCAGGCCGCGCTCCCGCTGCAGCAGCAAAGACTCCAGTGGCAGCAGAAGCATAAGCGTTTGCTGCGGCTGGGGAAGCTGGCAGCTGTAGCCCGCTGCGCCGAGGGGTGAGCTGTCCATACACCAAAGGCTGCTGCAGCAGCTGCGGCAGTTGCCGCTGCTGTTGACTTTGCTGCTTCGTGCGCTGCCGCCGCTGCTGCTGGGACTTGTGTTCCGTGGCTGCTACGGCGCCAGCTGCGGGAGGTTTTGCATGCCTTTTTTGAATAGCTCCTCATCAACGTCTGCTGCTGCTTCCTCTGCTGTTTCTTCGTCTGCTGCTGCTACCTCTGCTGCTCCTGGCGCTGCTGTTGTGACACTCAGGGAATGCCAGGCAGGGGTTTCTTGCCTCGAATGTCGCCACGTGTCTCTGGAGACCTGCAGAGACCTTCTTGGCTTGCGTTCAGAGCAGCAGCAGCAGCGAAAGCAGCAGCAGCAGCAGCAGCAGCACCAGCCGACCAGTTCCAGGAGGGAGCAGCAGCTCCCATCTGGTGGCAGTGAGCCGCAAAAAATAAACAAATCGGCGTTGCTGGTAGCTGCTGCTCTGTCCCTGGGCAGTCTGCTATTTGGGGTGCTTGCCCCAGCTGGCTCTCTACCTCTACATTCTGAGCAGCAACGAGTTGCTGCTGCTGCTGCGGCTGCTGCTGCTGTTGGGGCTGGAGGGCCCCTGCCCTCCTGGCAGGTAACCCACGTGCGGGGAGCTCAGGGGGGCCCCCATTGGGTCTTTGTGCTGCTGTGGCTGCGGGAAGCAGCGCCGAAAGCAGCAGCAAAGTGGGCGTGGCGGCGGCTGCAGATTTGCCTCTCTTCAGGTTTGCTGCTGTGCAACAGGCAAGCCAGTGTCACTGTCTGTTCTGCTTCGCTTGCTGATGCGTCTTCTTATTTGGGCTCTGCTTGTCCTGTTTGCTGCTGCCTTTTTCTAAATGCATCTGCTTTTTGTCGGCAGTGAGCTTTTGTTTTTGCTGCACTTGCTCCGCGGCCCCTCCTGGCTTGCTGCCTGCTGCCGGCGGAGCCCTGCAGCAGCGCAGAAGCAGCAGCAGCGACAGAGAAGCTGCGCACAGAGCGCCCACGGACAGCAGCAGCAGCAGCAGCAGACAGCAGCACGCAGCCACAAGGGCAGCAGCTACACACAGGTCGCAGACAGCTAGGAAATGCTGACAAAACAATAGCTGCAGGCAGAGAGAAAAAAGAAGAGGCAAAGTCGCCTCAGGAGAGAAAGGCACAAAAGCCAAAAGCAGCACGAAAGATACTAGAGATACGAAGCCGCACAACAGAGTCGCCGTCTTGCTGCTGCTGCTGTTGCTGCTGCAGCGATGTTCACGCCCAGCTCTTCGACTTGAGGACAGGCAGGAAAATACTTCTTGAAGAAAACTACCAGGCCTTAGGTCTGTCTGACTCAGTTACTGCTGCTGCAGCAACGCAGCCACTGCTGCCTCAGTAACGCAGCCACTGCTGCTGCCATTGCGTGGCGTGCTTGATTTCATATCACTTTTGCTGCTGCTGTTTGGGTTGCTGCTGCAGTTGCAGATGGCAGCGGCTCCCGCCTCGTGGGCGTGGCTTCCAAGCGCGAGCACGTTCAGGTTAGCTGCATTATTTGTTCTTTTGCTTCGGGTCCTCTATTGCGATCTAAGAATTATTTGGATTGTTTCCCCGGAAACTGATTACTGCCTGGTTTATGTTTTTGCTGCTGCGCCTCTGCTGCTGCTTCTGCTGCTCTCGCTGCGTTGCTCTAGGTGCTTAACACGGCCCTCCGCAAGCCGGGGCGGCCAAGAGCAATGACGGACAGCGCACGGCAGTGCCAACAGAAGCAGCTGCTGAAACAGCAGCAGCAGCAGCAAACTCAAGCATGGTGGACGTCATGTGAGGGCTGCAGAGACGCATGTGGTATCTTGTGCACGCATCCTTGTCTTTGCTTTAGCAGCACGAAGAGCAGTCGGGGCCGCGCGGCCTGCAGCAGCAGCAGCAGCTGCTGCTGCAGCCGCTGCTGCCACCGCCTATCCTCTGTTTGGTGGTGGGTCTCCTGCAACATTGTAGGGATATACAGTTGCAAAGGGCTCTTTTATCTCTAGGGCGTGCCTATTCTGTTCGCCGTTATGCTGCAGTTCAGGTTTTTGTTTTGAGCGGCACCGTGCTGCTGCAGGCGGGGTCGGTGCCTCACGTCGATCCTTCAATTGAGCTGCTAGCAGGAGCAGCAGCACCATAAGTTGCAGCAGCAGCAGCAGCAGAGGGCGAAACAACAGCAGCGATGAAAACGGCCCTGCCAGCTTCACAAGTTCGGGCTGCTGCAGTGACAGCAGCTTCTGCAGCTGTTGCTGCTGCTGTCGTGTTGCTATTTGTGGCGATGCGCCTTGTACTCCAGAGGCGGCCTTCGCTGTGCCTGCTGGTTGCAGTTTTTGATATTTCGAGTTTTTTGTTCTGCTGCTGCGTGGCGAGAGGCTGTAACAGCAGGCAAGCCCAGCAGCAGCAACTACGCGAAGTGACATAGAAAAGCAAATTCGAATTACTCTTAGACATAGAGCAACGCAGCCAACAGTCTGACCCAAATAGCCCGCCAGCAAGAGAAGCACACAAACTTCACTCTGCCCGACAGACAGCAGTTATGGGGCACACGGCACCGTCAGCAGCAAACCGCAGCGCTGCAACCAGCAGCTGTTCGCTGCTGCAGCACCAGATGCCGCCGCAGCAAATCCTGCGGTCTGCAGTCAAGGCTTAAAGGAGTGCAGTAACTGTGTCCCTGAGCAGTCAAGTCACTGCGTAAGGATCTTCTTGAGTTCCGCCTACCGATGCCGAGGCACTACACAAAAACCAGCAGCTACACTGCAGCGCCTGTTAAGGCAGCCTGACTTGCACTCAGAGCCGCCCAAAGCAGGTGCCGTTGCTGCAGCTGCCTTGGTTCGTGTGGAAAGCCGCAGCGCCTTCAACAGCACAAGAAGCAGCTGCAGCGGCCCGAGGTGCTGCTGTGTCCGTTAATGGTGTGGGGGTAAAAAAGGGAGGCGCCTGCGCCGCTCTTGCGTATCTCTGCTGCCATTGGTTGTTGGACCAGCTGCAACCAGCAGCAGCGGCAGCAACACATGGCAGCAGCGGCAGCGAAAGCAGCCATACAAATTTCCTGCTAGCCAGTTGCTCCTGCTCCCAAACATTCTCTGCACTGCTACATCGTTCGAAACCAGCCTGAATGCCCATCAAAAGTTTCGTGCGATGGGCACCAGCACCCAACGAATCCACCTTTGCTGCAGCTGCTGCCTGCTTTGGCAGCTGCAGCTGTAGGAGCTGTTGCTGTAGCAGCTGCTGCCGACGCAGCAACGCTTGCTGCAGCCAACGCGTCCTTTGAAATGCCCCACAAATATACCAGTGAGGCACTTGTAGAGCCTCTCATGCCAGCCACATTCCAACCATCATGGGGGCGAAGGATGCATGCCTTGTTTCGAGATCCAGGCTCTGCTTTCCACAGAGTTTAGTGTTGGTGTTGCAGATCAAGTCAGGAAAAGTCTATAGTTTAGAGACAGAGTGTACGGCTAGAGCTGCCTAGTGTGGAGCTGCAGCTTCGCCGTTCGAGCGCTGTGTCTTGCGGCTTTTCAAGAGCAAATTCGGCGCTTGCTTCGCGAACAAAGTCTAAATAGAGAAATGGTTTAAAAGGTTTAGAGTTCATCGTGAAGAGAATTCATTTCCTCGAGTTCCTCGTGCTCCAGCAGCTCCTCAGGCGTCATGGGTCTAGTGCCTCTTTTCACTTTTCGGTTCAAAAGATCTCCTATGCCATCTGGCAGCAGGGGCTCCTCCTGGTCAAGTTCGTGTAGTTCTTCCTTTTCTAGCCACCGGTGTTCCTCTGCGTGGTGCCAGTCGTAGTCGATCCAGTCCACCTCTATCAGTTCGTCCAGCCCGCCGCTCTTGCTGCTGCTGCTGCTGCCGTTGCTGGATTGGTTGTTGCTGTAGTCTCCGACGTCGACGTAGTCGTCGAAGATCTTCTTGGTGCCCTTGACGGACTGCAGCATTCGGTGGAAAGACACCGGCGTGGTTGCCTCGACCAATAGGGGGTGGTAGTCCGCGGGCCTTTCCTGGTGCATTCCTCTTGCATGCAGCAACGGCAGCTGCACGCGATGCGCCCACAGCCCCAGCAGCATGTCATCGGCCGTGCCGTCTTCGGGGCAGCTACAGCGGCCGCTGTCGACGCACTCCACCAACAGAGCTGCTGCAGCTCTGTCCACCACCATGCCGCCCCCCATGGTCACATACTCGTAGCCCCCCGCGCCGCTTCCCCCACTGAGGCCGTAGCCATACCTTTCTCCCAAGTACAGCGGCGAGACGGCTTCCAGAGGCCGCGGGCCTCCCCTGCCGTACAGGTGTGAGGCCGCCGTGAGTTGTTCGGGAGTGTAGCGGCTGTCCTTGGCCGGTGTGGCTGCTGCCACGGGATCGGCTGCTGCTGCTGCTGCTGCAGCGCGCCTCTGCAAATGGGCTCTTATCTCTTCTGCGAGACGCTTGTAGGGCGGCGTGTACGCCCTGTAGCCCTGGCCATCTGCAAGGAGGTTCGCGAGGAAGCTGCGGGCCGGGATCGGGGGCTGCAAAGTGAGGGAAAGCAGATCCAAAAGATGCCTGAAGTTCAGCAGCGTGTCGTCGTCTGTCACCACTAGGAAACGGCGGCCCACAGGAGCCGCCAGAAACTCCTTAAGAAGCGCCTGCAGGCGGACGCAGAGGCCGCGCTTGCCTTCTGGGGCGGGGTTTCCTGGCAAGTCCAGCACTTCGATGTCTAAAGAAGGGTCAGCAATGTCTGAAAAGAAACGAATGCTGAGGGTGTCGTAGGCCTCTGTGAGCTGCTTCAACTCCTCCTTGTTCATTTGCAAATGCGCGTAGTGCTCCGCCCCGAGGTGCCGCTTCGCCTGCTCCAACAGAACCTCCCGAGACGCCCACAGACGGCGCAGCAAAGGCACCCGCGAAGCGTGGCTCCCTGCGTGGGTCTTGACGGCCACCATGACATCCTGAGCGAAGCAAAACGGACACAGCAGCAGCAAAAGTCGCAGGTGCAGCAGCTGCTGAAGGGGTAGAGGGCTGAAGACCACCAAAGGCGGCAGCAGCACTGAAAGGCAAAAAGATGGTGGTTGAAATGCCGAGAAAAGAGAAACAAACGAACAAAAAATGCCGAAAGGACACGGGACAGGCTACAGAAAAGCCACACAAACAGAAATGTTTGAAGACACTATTCGAGACGGAAAGACAGACACAGGAGCAGAAGCAGGCGCCTTCGCCGTGAAGCCGAAATCCGCCTGAGACAACAGTTGCTCTGAGGGGCCCCCATAGACTCTGGCAGCCGGCGCTGCAGCAGAAGTGACTGGCTTAGGAACACGAGGCAAGAAAGAAAAATGAAAAAGAACAAATAATGGTGAGGTTGGAGAGAAGAAAGACGAATTTGCAGAGAAAAGAGAAGAACGCCAGATCCGCGAGAAGCCGAGGAAGCCAAGAAGTGGTAAAGGCAAAAGCGCAGCAACAGCACAAAAACAAAGAGGGAAAAGAATAAAAGGAATACAGACGGAGGCCAAGCAGCAGACAGACCTGCGGCTCGACTATAAAGGCGGGCCGGGACTTTTCTAGCTCCTCAAGAGCCTTTTGGTATTTGCCGCCATCCACCATTTTCTCCTCCGCTGTGAACTTTTCCGACAAAAAATCTCTCTTAATCTGAACAGCCAACACACCGGCAGCAAACTTGCACGCAAAGTGAAAAGAAACACAAGGAACAAGCCACAGCCAACGCTTGCTGCAGAAAAACTGTCTGCTGCAGCAGCAAACGGCAGGTAGCTGTCTGCTGCAGCAGCAGACTGTCTTCTGCAAAACGAGATCCCATCTGGTCTGCCCCTCCTTAGGTGTTCTTCTTGTCTGGCTTAGAAGCTTTCACCGTGCCCTAAATGCGAATCTGCAGCTGCTGCTGCTGCACACGCTGCTGCTGCATACGCTGCTGCTGCATACGCTGCTGCTGCTGCATACGCTGCTGCTGCTGCACACGCTGCTGCAAGCTGTATCGCGTGCCCACAGCTGAGGGCGCGGGGGTGGGGGTTTAGGGTTTAGGGTTTGAGGCTAACCATGAGATCTTCGTCGAAATCGATAAGGGCGTCGAATATTTGGTGCGAAAGGATGGGGCCGTGTCTGTTGCCGCTGTTGAAAGCTGCGCAGTCTTTGTGAATGATGGCTGTGATATCTGCTGCAGCAACTGCTGCGCGCTCAGCAGCAGACAGCTGCCGCTTGTTTGCTGCTGCAGCAGCCTCAGCTCCTGCCACTTTGGTAGGCCTCACGTGGTTTGGGGGGTAAGGCTGCAGGTCTCGTTCATAATTGTCTACAGCGGGAGGTACGGGGCAGAAGAGTTCGGAGTGCAGCAGCTGCAGCTGCTGCGTGTTTTTCAGGTGTACCGACATCTCGTAAATGAAGTCACGCTCGACTCCCTCTGGAGGAGGCTCCTCAGTATATGCCTTCTTGACTGCTTCAAACGCCGGGCGGGACCAAAGAGTCCCTGCGTCGAGGTGGGGGTAAACCTGGGACTGAGCAGCAGCAAAATGGTGTATGATGGTGGGCTGGGGGTCTGTCAGGCCCCAGCCCACTGCAAAAGCCCCCCAGTGGGGCCCCTGTGTCTGCTGCTGCAGCTCCCGA